ATGCACAAGTTACCTTTTTAATAAAATGAAACTATTTAGAAACATAGTTTAGGATTTGTGGCTATTTAATTGGTTGTTTCTTTGAGTTGAGAAACGATAGTTCACTGTTTTAACTATTTTGAGGGAAATAAGCTATGTTCCCTTGAATCTATAAAAAATATCGCCGTTCAAATACTAGGTGTTATCATTTCCATACTTGGTAAATGTTCTAGCCCACTTTCGTAGATAAGAAAAATGATAAATTTTAATTTGATTGAAATCTGATATTCCTCAAAATACAGTGTATCAGCTTCAGAAACTTTAGGTTTTCATTTCCACATGTCCAAAGCAATTGACTAAACTGTTACAAAGTGGAAAATAATCCCCACCCCCTTCTGCAAGCTTGGTTAGAAACAAAATAAAGATTACAAAAGAATCTGTGATGGCAGTTCTAATTCAAACTTTTACAACGCAGTGCTTTCTAGTATTGGACTAGAATGTCAATCAATCTCAGCCAACAGGATGGGACTTGACCATCTTAAGATGGCGTGCAGGACATGTGCTGTTGTAGATATTGCTAAGTATAGAGCAAGATTCCTGGCTGAACCAAGTATTTGCCAGCACATCAGATTCAAAAGCAAAAAGTGTTTTTCCTAGTTGGTAGGGTGCTAAAAGGAGCCCTTTCAATAAAAGAACCTTTGTTTTAAGAAGTTGCTCTGAGATAACGTTTTGCCTTCAAAGCCCTGGACTTCCCCAACTTTCCATGCTTTATTAATTCCTTTTACAGACTGAGCATATTTACGCGAGATTTTTGCATCAGAGAATCAGCTCCATACTTGTGTGCGTGCAAAGGTCAGCTAATTCTTATTTCTGGCTTGGCATCAGTTTATTTAAGATCAGAGCTAATCTGAGAGGTGTTTTTTTTCTTCCTCTGTTAGCTCTTGTTGGCAGTTAGTTTTTCCATTGGCAGGAATTTTTGCCTCACCCTGCTTTTAGGTCCTGGACATGAGATAAGCACCATCTTGGTAACTCTGCTACTGCTTGCCTACTCTCTTCTGCAATCATCATCCTCATATCCATCTGCTTGAAACACTTGGATTTTTCAGAATTTTGCTTTTTGTACTTGGATCAATGACCATCTACAGTCCTGTATTTGCCAGATCGTTGCCTCAGATTTACAAGTCAATGATAATAAAACTTGTATTATCTACTCTATTAAAACTGTGTTTTTTATTTTCTTGTCTGCTTTCTTTTAATATATATATATACATATCTATTTGGACGAGGTATACTTCAAAAATAACTAAGGATGCAGTTGCATTAATGATTTGACTCGTTAAAATGATTGTTAAAAGACTGACATTTTTTAAAGGCTAGCATATCACAAATACGTTGTACTTATGCTAGGTCCAAAACACTTCTTCCAAATTGTTTCTCATGCATGCAGAACCATAAAATACACTGACTTTCCTATAGAAGTTTAAGGTAATATAAGTAGTTACCTCTCCATCACAACAACCCTGGGATTAGGATAGGCTAATGATCAGTCCAAACTGATTTAGTGAATTTCATAAATAATTCGGGATTTTAAACCTTTAACTCCAGAATTATAGTCCAAAGAACTAAATCACTTCAGTGCATACATAAAACTAATCCAAATGTGGTTTGTTTCCGACAAGTGCAATTTCTGAATCTGGATACCGGCTCTGAGTTATTAAGGTGTACAATGGTAAAAAAGAGACATGGCCAAAATACATGTTAGCTTAACGCTTTAAAGGTGTAGTGGTTATTACAGTCTTAAATTCTACAGTAAACATTTGAAGCTGTCTTGATCATATTGGAACAATGGTTATGCTTTAACCTTTACAGCAAAGCTAAAACTGTTTAGCTGCTTACTGTTTCCCTTGGCAATTACAGACATTGTACTATTGGGGCATAGTGAAACTCATCAGGAATTGAACCTGCAGTTTGGGAATATTCATACATGGAATGGTGCCTCCTACAGATGACCATACAGAAGCTGTTAGGCTTTTTCGCTGACTGGTTTGAATGAATTATATAAGCAAATATCTTAGAGAATGCCTTTGCCCCCAATAGTTTCTACCCATCCTACCTGGACAATTAAAAAGCTGAGGACCCCCACTTGCCAGGAGATAGTGTGTGAGGGAAGATGATATCACAGGAGACAAGCATTTAATTCTTAATTTCTTTTTTATATATTATACATAATTTTTATTAAAGATTTTTTAAAAGATGGAAACATACAAACTGATAAAAAGGGAGAAAGAGGGGGGGGATGGCAATTTGATACAAAGTCCTGTCCCTGCTTTTCACCAGAGATTGAGATAAACTGGAAATCATTTTTACCTTTTATGGTAGGATGGTCTTCTGCCTGATACTTGTAAGCTGCCTGTCCCATCAGCGTTACTAATATGTAACTTCCAACTTTTAATTTGCATTTGTTGGATTTTTTTTAAATAAAAAGAGGAACCTTACATTGGGATAATTAAAGAAAAAAACCTGAGCTTACAATGTCAACATATCTGAATTAAAAATTCTCATTTCTTTGAGGAAAACATTATTCCTGAATTGAAAAAGCGGTTTGTTTTATCTTCTGCTATAAATCCAACATACAAATGTGGAGAGAAAAATCTTATTTTCATTGTAGCTTTATACCCGATTTAGGTATTCCTCTAAAATTAAATCTACTGTATATGAGGTAAATTTGCTTTGCCTCAGTGAGGTGTTTTGAACTGATCATCAATGGGGCCAAAAGGCCACCCAATTGTTCTTCATTTTGCCCCAAAGTCTGAACCCAAGAAGATCATGCTACTGCTTTGCCCTGAGCTCCCCTTATCTTGGTCTTAGAAGAGATAAAGAAATGTTGGTTTGTAAAGCAAATGGAAGAGAATGGGACATTCAGATCTTTTAAACATATAATTAAAGTACTGCACAGGAGACAGCAAAGTAGTGATGTTCTTCTTCCAAATCTTTTTAATGCAAATTCTTCACATCTGATTCCAAGAATCTGAACTGATTTTCAGTCATCATGGCACTATCTCTAAATACTAGATTGCCATAGTGCCCAATTAAATACATTGCATCAGACTTTTTATCTAAATTCCATGCCAGCAGAATATTATAAACTGAACTGGCATGGTTTCAGCATAAGATTGGATCTATTTAATCTCATATTTCTATAAATCAATTTTGCAATTTCTATAAAATTGTTTGGGTAAAAGTATCAAGGCAGGCCAGTTGTTATAAATAGATGATGTTAGAAGAATACCTTCATTTTTCCAAAAATAGGCATAGTACTGTACATAAATGATGCCTGGCCTTCATGAAATCAGATATTCTATCTCAAGATCTTGTTTTTTTAATCCAGAGCTGATAAGGCATGGCAGGCTTTGCTGTCTTCTTTTTGGCAAGGAGACAGATGCACTTTAAGCATCCATTATTGTGGCCATTTTTATGTCAGTATTTAGCCTAAATGCTGACAGTAGTTTTGAGGTCTGAAATGTGATGAGTCCAAGGATACGATTTGCAAAATAACAAGGAGGAATACACAAGGCAAGGCGAAAGGTACCAAAATAGAAAGGAGCCTAACATCATTGATTAATCAAATAAATACAACTCAACTAACCAACTCATGAATATGGGTAACTGATGCTCTTGCTAGTGGGTAGCTGATGCTCTTGAGAGCTAGTCCCATCTTCCTTATAATTTTTTAAAATCAAATTTATGTGTCCGCTCAACTTATCTCTTCCAACTCACAAGTTATGGAGAGGATACATAGGCTCTTGGTAGCCATTCTGTGCCCAATGAAGCCAATTGGAGTCACCACTGTCTTTAGGTTGATTAGACTTGGGTGAATAGAACAAGGCAAATGCCTGTTACTTAACCATTTTGTCACTGCAGGCTTGCAGATTAAATATGAGATATTGCTTGGGACTGGTCTAACATGCTTTCTCTCCCTCAACACACACTTCACAGTCAAATGTCCAAGCTAAACACTTGCAAAAGCTAAAGCCTGAAATGGGAAAAGTCATAATAAGAATTGTCAGAACATTCTGCTAGTGATCCTTTTTGCACCCAGAGTTTTGGTGCAAATTTAGGGCCAGCTTCTTATAATGTGAATCATAAAGGATATGTCCTGAACTGAAAATACCATCCTGCATGTAACAGTTGATTTAATGGGATCTAGAGATGGAATGATCAATTTGCTAATTATACCAGATTCTTGGATGCTCTGCCCAAAAAAGTTTATAAATTTTCACATACAGAAAAGTGTGTGTGGACAATTTAAGAATATACAGACAAGCCCTAAGAGTCCTATTTGTTCAAATAGTCCTCAATTCATCATACAGCCAAGAATCTAAACCAGATTGTACCATTCAGATATGTTGTACCATTCAGATATGAAGTCTTTCTGGAAGGCATCAAATTGTGGAAGACTTTCGATGTATCATCACCAGTTTCTGATTTCACAGAGGGTGATGCCATAAAATGACTGGCATGATTTCCCCACTCCATCACAGTCAGAAATGTCACTTTTCAGTCAATTAGAAAGACTGTATCAGTAGAGAACTTTGTGATGTTGTCCTCACCTGCTTCCAATGCCATCTCCACATATCAGCTTTGCAAGCTTCCTAATCACAGGTCTATCAATAATTCAGAGCCCATCAGCCATACTCCAAAGGGTGGGCTCTTACCCTGCACTTTGGGGCTGTCAGCAAATAATGTGCAGTACAGAGATTCTCCATTTCAAATCCCAGGGCAGCAAGCCAAGTCGAGGCTAGTATTGTATTTTCAATTAGCTTCTGAGTGAATGCTTGGCATCTGCAGAAGGGGATCTGCACACAATTAGCTTCTTGTTCCTTTCAGCTTGGTGCTGAGTGGATCATCTGGAGAACTGGAGGAGGAAGAACAGCATCTCTGAGTAGGGACGTCGTCGCTGTGGATGTAGAAGGAAGAAGGGGGTTTTGCAGCTCAAGCAGTTTCTGCTCTCTCTTCCTCAGAAATTATTGTGATTGTTAAGGGAGCGCTGGGCTTCAAGGAGTTTGCCAGGAGATAAGAAGAGAAGGAACTTTCTTGTCTCTCCTTGTGGCAGGCCAGATCTTCCCCTCCCCCTACTTCTGCTCTTCCTAAATACTGCCATGGAACCAAACAGTCCTAAAAAGATACAGTTCGCTGTACCATTATTTCAAAGCCAAATAGATTCTGAAGCGGCTGAACAGGTAAGCTAATTTTGTCTTCACTGCCTACGAAAGAAGATAAAGATTGTTAAGGGAACCATGTTTCTAAATGGGGAAAGCAGAGTGCAACTTTGTAGAAGTTCTGGGATTTTGTAAGAATTCTCTATCATTGAAAGAGAGAAGGAAAGAGAGAGAAAGAAGGGAAGAGAAGGGAAGAGGTTTGTCTTTAGGATACACTAGGTGAGCGTTTTTTTTCTGAGCAAACCTTTTTCTCAAAAAAGAGAAGCATTCCAATAGTGAGCTTGGGACTTTTGTATATACAAATTGTTGATGGTATTTAATGTTAGCAGACTGATTGGTAGGTAAGGAGATAGTTCAGTTGGAAGGCTATAAATGACAGATGGATGAAAGGATTTCCTGCATCTTCAAATGGGATAAAAAACATCAAGAAAAGGGCATTGTTTCTAGATATTCAGCACTTCCAAGGCAATTTCTGAGCAGTCACGTTAATAGCCTAAATTTATGTTATTATATTTTCAAAATGATACAATACTATCAGCATCACAGAACAAACATTGATATAGGTTGAAATCATCTTCTCTTTGGCTGGTTTGAAGTGGTATGTTCCCCCCACGGACAGTGTATGGTTATACCTGCAGATCAAGATGTTTCTCAGAATTGCTTATCAGACTTAACAGTTCAGCTTTTTGATATCCAGAATGGACAAATACTAGTTGGAGTTGTGCACCTTTAAGTCTACTGAGTCCCATTGAGCTGAATCAAATTTCTATCTGAGAAGGTATATGTGGGGTTCCACTGTTCATGTTCTAGCTGAGATGTCTACTCTGAAAAGAACCATAATTAGAACAAAGGGTCATTGATGACAGCCCTAGAAAACAGACAAAGCCTGAGCAGAATGAGTATTCTTATGCAGAAAACATTTTAGATGCTATTCTCATACTCAAGATGAGCTTCACATCTCATCCCTCTCCAATAGATAAATATACTTTCTGAATGATAAATGGGTGGCTTTGAAGATTCCAATATCTTTTTAGTCATCTTTCTGTATGTAGACATAGAAATTCCTAGAATTAAGGTCATATGCTATTTATTTGACTTAGTATGTAGAGCTATAAAGGGTTATAACTCTCCAAATAATCAGCCAGTAAGAGGTTTTTTTTAGAAATGTTGGGAGCTGAAGTCATGTTAGATCTGGGGGTACTATGTTGAGAAAGTCTGTATTTTCTTCCATTTAATGTTGTGTATAAGACATCCATATCATCCTATGGTTTCCATATAATGGATGATTCTTGGCCAACAGCATACATGCTAAAAATCAAAGTATTTGGATTTTGTGCAAATATAACATTATGCTTCTTGGCTATTAAGAGGACATGAGAATGACTTGCAAACCAGCCAGTGATTTACAATAGATTAATGCAATTGTGATTTCTTTTTCCTGCTTTCAACCATTGATGTCTGTAGTCTAAACCAAATGGCTTTCAAAATGATGTTCCATTACTAAATGCAATTTGTGGTATGCTACAAGGAGCAAATGCATATCCCTCCACTATCTCCTGATATCAGAAAAATGATTCGGGCCCACATCTGACTGATCATGGAAGAGCTTGGAAGCCAATCAGTATGACACAATGAAATTTAGCTTTTTGGAAAACCAGGTCTCCAGTATTTTCAGTCAGAGTTGGCATTGGTGGGGTGGGTAGTATTACAGTGAGAATAAGTAAAGGTTGCATAGTTGTGAGACAGGCCATGTGGTCACCTTAGACAAGAGAGTCTAACTAGAATTTAAAAGCTCATTGCACCATTGGAATGGGAAAGCTCTGGGATGGGAAACTATGGGATATAGCTAAAGTGCCATTTGGGATGGAAACCATACAAAGATCCAGGGTTTTACACTCCTTCCACAACATTCGATCATTTCTTTCTTTCTTTTTATTTTTTAGTTTGCCATATTGTGCTGGAATTCAAATTCAGTAAGACCTCAAAGGTCAAGAATAATGAAGTCTTGATTATTCCTGGCCTTTGAAGTCTTAAATTTAAATTTAAAATCCAGCACAATACGGCAAACTAAAAAAAAAACAACCATAAAGAAAAAAAGTGATATACTAGTAATACTGATGATGATGAAGGTGATGATGAAGATGATGATGATGATATGCATTCAGCCATGTCCGATTCTTGGCAATTCTTTGTGCCACATCTCTCCGCATCTTCTGATCTTGCACTACTTCCTTGAGTTTTTCTATGCTCTGGCTAGTGTCGGCTTTGATGGTGTTAGTAATACTAACAGAACAAATTCATGATAACCTGCTGCGTTTTGTTCTTGAAATAGAAAGCAGCATCAGCTTGTTCTGATTTTGATAGTGATTAAAAGAAGTCAATGATTTGAATACTTAGCTCTATTTGTATCACTAACTTCTCATTACCTTTTAGCTCTGGCTTAGCTGTATTTGCTTAGTAACTTCTCATAATTGGTGAATTTAGAGACATAGCTGCTTGCATTTATGTTTGATCCATCTGCCTGTATTTATGATTTCTGCAGATCAGGAAAAGAAGGCCCACCCCAGCATCCTTAGTAATTATGAATGATTCATCTCCTGGTAAGTTCATGCTATGGCTTTCTAAAGTCAGGGGTCGCCAACCTTTTGGACCTCAGGGACCACCAAACTCATAATTTGAAATCACATGGACCACTAATGTGGATTTTGACTGACAGTGGCTTGCTGATGTTGGTGGGAGAGAAAGAGATCGATCTGATCTAACCTCAGAGGGCTGGTAGTGATTCATTCTCTCTCTCTCTCTCTCTCTCTCTCTCTCTCTCTCTCTCTCTCTCT